TATATATATATACATATGAGTCAACCCCTGGGTTTGTGTGTGAAAATGATGTAAATTAGCCCGTGTCTCGCTTCACCTCCTGTGGCTATCAGCAGCTGGTAATGGACCACTCTCTTAAGGGTTGTATGAGTGAGCCATTAAACCAACACATAGCAGTCCGGCTAGGCAACAGTCTCAGCCAGAAGCAATTTATTTGGATGGGTCTATTTGTTGTTCCATCCCCTGCAGAACCCTACAGATTGCTGCTGCAGCGCAATAGTGGTGTAAGACCTATTTTACTTCATGTCCTCATTCTGAAGCCTCTTTACATTGTCAGGATGGAATCACTTGGGTACCAGTTAGAAATAAGTGAAGGGATTTTATTCCTGATAAAATGTTATCACACCAGACTCCCGTGCTCCTGGGTAGAGGGATGTTTCTGAAGCTGTTTTTCACTACCTTTATCAAAAAATTGCAGCTTCTGTGATTTGGATATTGCATTTGGCCATATTGTGATTTTGATAATATTGCAATTACCTGTGCACCTTTATGTTTCACACAGTTTTTACAGGAAAGTCACCATGAAATATGGTTGAAAAAAACTATTTATATCCTAAAATTGAATTAAATAATGGCAGGTCAGGTGATTTCTTTATTTACAAATGTAACTTTAATGTACTTATTTCTGTAATACCCTTCTCAAGTGTTGAGGTTATCACAGATAAAATGACTTTTAGCACTTCAAAGACCCACTGTTCTCTCCCATCACGTCCCCTATCATAACTCCTTCCTCTGTATTTCCTCTATACACTGTAACATACTCTCATCATCTTAATGTCTCTCCGTTTCTGTGATCACGCTAGTGCTACAGGAATAGCAGCAGGGCATCATGGTTTTGTCACTCACACCACAGTTGGTTGCTTATAATCATAATACAATTACATTTCAGTCTGGCATAAACAGACACTAAATGGTTAAATGTAAATGTAGTTCTGAGCTTTCACACATATGTTCTCTTTCAAGAATCATCTCTGTCATCTCATAATTTAATGTATTAATTGTAATGATGTTGTTTTTAATGCTTCTGAGGACAGGAATAATGGTGAACATTAGAATATATTATGTAAATCCACAAAATAAAATCATGATTTTGGATTAAAGATTCAGATATATGATAGATTTGTGGTTTAAGGATGTTTCTGGTTGCAAAAAAGCCTTATATGAACAATGGACCTCAGATTAAACAAATAAAATATCTATGTTTAAATATCTTATACAGTCCACAATGTATTTTTTCATCTAAAGCCCAAATAATTACTGCTCTGAAATATTAGGAGACATGATAACAACAGCATAATCATAATGTTTAAGGCTATTAGTAATTGGTTTAAAGGTCTGGTGTGAAGCTTTTAGGAGGGTCTACTGGCAAAAGTGGAATATAATATTCATAGGTATGTTTTCATTTGTATATGATCACCTGAAAATAAGAATTATTTTTGTTACCTTAGAATGAGACGTTTTTATCTACAGAGGGAGCGCGTCCTCTTCTATGGAGGCTGTCATGTTGAATCACCATGTTCCTACTGTAGGAACATTACTCTAGATGTGGCCTTTGACGTTCCGACTGTAGTTTGTCCCACACGCTTGGAACGGGAGGGTGGCACGAGGGGGTTGTAATTTGCACCTACACCGCTGGTTGCTACTAAATCTCACACACTGGTCCTTTAATACAATATAAAGCATAATGTTTTTAATGTACAGCCAACTGTATTGTGGTTAAACTGTCCTGGTGGTAGTTCGCTTGGAGTTGAGCAAGGAGTGATGGATCACATGCTTAGACACACACAGCCTAGCTCAGGCTCAGCACAAACACTGTGCCTTAAAATCTGTAGGCTCAGCTAACAGTCACACACTCACACATACCTACGCCTTTACACATACCTACGCATGCATACACACTCTGAGGGCAGTCTTAACAGGTGCAGGCATGTAAAAACAAAAGAAGGGATGTGGCAGAAATAAGATACATGACATACACACACACACACACACACACATGAATAAGCATAGGGAATAGGCAAATGACAGAAGGGATGTGAAAGAACCACACCGATCACAGTCATTCACACGCTTGGAACTATAGGCTCAAATAAATAGGACAGCATGGTAGAAAGCAGGAGAGCCTCCTCTTTAATTATCTGCATTGCAAACATTCCTTCACCAGCAGGTTTTTTTTTTTCTCACATTTTATTCCCTGGATGTTCCAGCTTGTTGGGAGCGTTGCCGGGATTGCATTGGCACGCTTTGGCTTGCTCATCCTAGTGCGAATGTGTGTGTGTGTGTGTGTGACTGAGATAGCGATAGAGAGACAGAGCAGGAGGAGGGGAGGCAAACAGGCTATTCTGTTGCTCAGTCACATGGGCATCCACGAGAGCCAGCCAGGCAGGCGCACAGAGACTGGAGAGGCTGGCTATCAGTTGTGCTGCAAACAGAGTCAAGCTGTAAAGATGATGTGCCCCTCCTGAGTGACACTGGGTTATATAGGTTTGCTGTCAGTGTCTCAACTGGTGAGGGAGACTACTGGTTGGAGTCTCCAAAGATTACAGGCAGAAAAGAATGTTTCTGTCATCCTTATATGGCCTGTTGTGAACTGTTTAATTATAGCGCATATGTCAGAATGTGTTAGGGACAAACATCATCTTGCTTAAAGGCACTTTAACACAAAACAGTTCTAAATGACCCTTTTTCACAACATGTCATAGCAGGAGAAGTACAGGTGTATTACATGATATTTATGATGGCTGGATTCCACTAAAAAGAGGTCATGGTGTTGTGCATGCTGGCTCACTGTAAATAGCTTATTGGTACACTTAATGGAACAAAGCTGTCGTTGATGTTATTTCCACCTGTACTTTATGACGTATGATTCAAAACAGTGAATAAAGGTGTATTGTAGCTGGAGGAAGCAGGTTCTTTTTCCCAAACAAAGTAAATATACTAATAGTTATACTGTTCATATTAATATTAATTAATAATTAACTGCTAGCTATAATTTACTTGCACAAGCATTAGTTAGATGTTACATGACTGACTGTGTAGACCATACAGGTATATACAGTCCCATACACAGATTGCACACTGCACACACTTACACATTTTCTCCCACAGTCAGCAGTTAAAGGCAGAAAAGCACCCATTTTGAACCAACCAGTGAACTGAATGCTAAAATAACCCTATGTCTCTAACACGTGAGCTGTGAGTAACCATTTACATAATGAAATAACACAATTAAATCATACAGTTGACTCCCTGAGTTGGATTTTATTCCTGCTGCTGTGTGTCTTTCCCTAAGCTACACCTGCTTGGATCTTGGTGTTTGTTCTACAGGGGGAATACACGCTTTTCACTGAAGACATTTTGACATGTCACCGAAGGCAAACCACAGGTGTAAATAATAAAATGTCATGTCTTACACTCTTACACTTACACTTGAATAGAATAGAGCCATTGTTGATGCAGCAGTGAGGAATAATTTGATTATTCGTCAAAAATCAAGACTATATATAGACAGTATACATATATCAGATAAAACAATAGTATATATCAGTTAAATCTTTCTTACCCCGCCAAGTACCAAAGTAGTTACATAAATAAAACTGTCGAAAGTGTCTGCCAAATTGAGATTACTTTATCTCATCAGTGACATTTAAATCTTTATTTATTCATATCAGATGAGTGTTGCTGTTGTTAAAACATTTGCAGTTTAAATTCCATCTGTGTGGGATATTGGTTATGAGGATTATGATGAGCACTGAGTGAATCAATCAGCCTCTCTTTATGCTGTCTGAAGCTGTGTCTCATCCCCTCTCTATTTTTCCACTCTTTCATTTGCTCATTTTGTGTTCTCTCTTTCATGCCCTCCTGAACCTTCTCTCCATTATTATGCTGAATGTTATACATCTATAATTATGCATCTATTTTAGGCCTTCCTGGTGAAAACAGTCCTCTGATTGCCTTTCTCTTCTGCCTACGTCCTGTTATTAGACAAAAAGTATGACACTATAGCAGGATGTAAGACTGTTGTGCTTTTCTAGACTGCGATAAGTAATGTGTGTCGTTTGCATTTGTTTCTTTGTGAAGCATGTTTCAGTGTAGATAGTATTAGCCTTGCTAAAGAGTGTAAGCGTGTTTACTCCCACTCCAACAAACTCATAGCACATTTATTTGTGTCTGAGCTTTTTTCAGTCACGAGTAATGAGTTTTTATTTATTTATGTTTAGCCCTTTACATTTGACTTAAAAAGTGACTTTTACTTGCCAGGCCTACTGGTATTTATAGTCTTAATTAATTCAACAAGTCCAAACAAGACAAGGCTGTAGATGAGTCTGTACTTAAGTAAAGTGGCGGTTTGGACTAAATGCTAATGTCAGCATGCTAACATGCTCACAATGACCGAACTTGATGTTTAGCAGGTATAGTTGTTTATATTGTTTACTACATATACTGTCTTTTGTCACAAAGTAGCGCTAACACTCATGGGAATTAGTTTAGCAGTGTATTGGTCATAAACCAAAGTGTGGGATAAACTGTAAGCCAGACCTGATGGTGGCGCTAGGTGAAAAGTTACATTTGCCAAAGTTATCAGAATTCATCCTGAGGTGGACATGAATATATATAATAATACATACAATAATTCATGGCCGACCCACAGGCAGACCGACATTGCCGTTGCTGCAAGCATGGCTAAAAATGCATGAAATCTCACACGCTGTACATAGGGCTTTAAAAAGGACTTGGTGCCCTTGTAGCTGACGTTACTGTTTCCTGCAGTTCCTCTAGCTGACAGGCCCCTACTTGTGTTTGACACTGTTATTACATAATGTTGAACTGCTGTGCCCACCCTTTGGGATTCATCTTTGTCACAGAGAGGACTAATGATGCTGAGTAATGGAGCCTCTCGGCCTCAGTGCAACTAACACAGTCATCTCTGTCTCTCCTCTCTTTCTCTCTCTCTCTCTCAGATGCTGCTGCTAAGAAAGCCTTCATCACAGAGGTGAGCTACCATCTGTCCCTGTGATCACCTTCTCTGTTACGATTCTCCTTTTAGCTCCTTTTTGATCCTCCACATCAATAGCTACTAGTTCTTTGGTTTTAGCCAGACACTAATGAAACCACTACAAGGGTTTCATCTGAGGATGTTGGGCATTTATTTACAAATATTTGGCTTAATTAATATTTGCTGTACATAATTGTCCTCACTTGGTGCACGGAGACCAAACAATTTGGCTCACATTATGTTAATCCTCCTAATTTGGTAATCCCATCCATCTGGCACTGCAGCTACTCTACTCTACAACAGAAGTATTGCGTTATTTGTTTAATTTGAGTCTGCTGAGGACATTCAGTTCTTATAAAATGCCAATTTAAACCAAAAAGCTCTGTGAACAGCACCAGAAACGTTTACGTTGGATGTCCGTTGTCCGCTGCTGCAGCTTCTCCCGTTAAGTTAGTTTCTGAATCAGATGAAATTACAAACTGTGCTATCAGACCTCTTGCTATGCACAGTTTGAGATTGATTAAGAATTGATCTCATGCATTAATACTGAGTCACTCTCCAGTATTTCATATTTAAATAATCAATGTTAATAAACAGGTGCAAACCTTCCTTTCCCTATAATGCTTCAAAGTCTCTTTCCGTCTTTTTGTCATCAGATGCCCTCCTCCTCAGGCCAGCCTGGTCAGGGAAAGAAGATTGGCCACAGAGGGGTGGATGCATCAGGGGAAACTACTTACAAGAAGGTACAGTAGACAGCACATGCCTGAGCCATGATGTATCTTCTGGTTCTAAGCACATCAAGACCTGGGACTTCTTTTTTCTTTTTTTGCATAAATGCTAATGATTTTATCCAACTCAGAAATGACAGGTCATTGACAGGGAGGGTCAAAGAAGGGGCAAGTATTTCTCTCACCACATCTCCCTCTGCCTCCCCTCACCCCTCTCTCCACAGACCACATCCTCAGCCTTGAAAGGTGCCATCCAGCTGGGCATCGGTTACACGGTGGGCAACCTGAGCTCCAAGCCTGAGAGAGATGTGTTGATGCAGGACTTCTACGTGGTGGAAAGCATCTTTTTTCCCAGGTCTCCACGGCAACCAAACATATATATATATAAAAATACAGACTGTATACATGCAGTGTAATTCCAGTGCACAAAAATGTGAATTTGATTACTAACATCTTATGTGCTCTGATATTTTTCTGTACTTTAGTGAAGGCAGCAACCTCACTCCAGCCCACCATTTCCCGGACTTCCGCTTTAAAACATACGCTCCTGTGGCCTTCCGCTACTTCAGAGAACTATTTGGCATCAGGCCAGATGACTACCTGGTAAGATTTGACTCATAGCTGTATCATCTTTGGTAAATTAATAAGCGAGCGGATTGGATCTATTCATGGTACAAAGTGAAGTAAGAGAGATTTTACGAAGAAAGGGAGGCAAGATCAGGAAAACACAATGAAACACACAGTTAAAGATGAGAACTGTGGATGGGAAGCACCAGAGAGAGCAGAGGGGAGGAGAGAGGATGGTAGAAGAGAAGGGAAGGAAGGTCTGCAGCTTGTCACCCCTCATCAGTGTGGAGGACCTGGAGGCTGAATGATTCACCGCTCTGCCCAGAGGAGTCTAGCAGAATATACATACACTGCTCAGTCAGTGTTTCTCCTTTTCTCCGTGTTTCCACGGTGCACATACCTTTAATGCATCGGCTCTCCGGCCACGTGGAAACATCCTGCCTTGTTTCTGCCATCTCTTCTGAGCCAGCCTGTGGTCACTCATCACCATATGTCCACACATGTCCATGTCATCTGGAGACATTTTGTCACCAACTTGCAAAAAGACTAATTTTAAAGGTTTTTGGTATGAACTGTTCAGCCATTGAAAAAAAGTCATGACATTAAATAACAGGCTCTTCAGAGAGGGATGTTTGACCTATAATAGGTGGGGGCAGCTTCACCTTTATAGAAAACAATGATTACTTGCTTTTAAGCAGCCAAGAGAGCAAATGGGCTAATAACCCGAGCTAATCATAACATCAGCAGGAGTCTGATGTCTGTGTTAACAAAGCTAAAATTTCAAAGCAGTCATTATTTGACATTTACAGCTGCCTCTGCTCTACTGCAGCTGTAATTTACTTCTTCTCTCTCACTCACAATCTTTATCTGCTTCGTACAATCATTTCTTAATCATCATTTAAACCGTAACATGTTCATGTGTGTGTCTGCATGTCTCTACACATGATGAGTTTATTGGTCTTGAGAAGTATTTCACCGTGAAATGTGTCTCAACAGGCTGTTGTTTGTGTTTGATCATCAGTGTTTTTGAAAAGAGCTCATTGTCAGCACTGCGGGTGACTCCCAATTCACATAATTTGATCCATGGGATCTAGTCAGAAGCTGAACCATGATAATCTGACTTCAAGGAGAAGTCCACCGGTCAAGGCTAGAAGCTGGAGGCTACATTAGCCACTGCAAATAGTTGGCCTAGTGAGCCTTAACAGAGATCTGTTTCTGCTGCATTCATTTTTTTGTTTAAAAAACCCACATGTCCACAATGTCATAGGAGTGCAATTCTAAATCGATTTATCAGAGTACTTTACTTACTTAACTTGTTATCAAAAGGAGTTATGAGAGGGGTTATATAAAGGAGATAAAAAGTTACTATTTAACTGCTGTAATCAAAAATATTTTCTCCTTAGCTGTTCACATGGACTGCTTAGAAAACGTTTTGATTCAAGTTCTGGTTTACTTTCTATGTACAAGAGCCAGATTAATCATGACTTTCCCCCCTTCAATTTTTGAGTTCTTTACTGTTCATTCTACCCTTGTTGCTTTCCTCTATTCGTTTTTTTTTTTTGTGGTTTGTTTGTTATGCACAATTAGATTAAAATGGCAGCGAATTAACACAATCAGTTTTCCTGGAAACAAGGTGGAAAATCTGTATTTGTTCCATTTTTCTTAATTAAAACTCTTTCCAGAAGAGGTGATGTGATGCCAGAGTGGATTAACTTTTCCACAAAGACTATGTTAGCCATAGTTTGATTAAATTATAATATCAATGAAATGTTATACATTTAAATTTTTACTGATTGTCTAACCATGACTTTATTTGGGTTAAGGTAATCAGAAAATGCTGTTTCTAATATTTTCACTATTTCTAATACTATTTTAATCCGTATTTCTCCTCTGCAGTACTCCCTATGTAATGAGCCTCTGATCGAGCTGTCCAATCCTGGAGCGAGTGGCTCGGTCTTTTACCTTACAAAAGACGACGAGTTCATCATCAAGACTGTTATGCACAAAGAGGCTGAATTCTTACAGAAACTGTTGCCTGGATACTACATGGTAAGTGTGTGTGACAAAAACTGCGCGGTATGTCAGAGTTGGATGAAAACTAAACTGGAAATCAAATAAGCCGGCCTAGTGAGCCTTAACACTTGCTCTCAGCTACAGTAGTTTTCCCCCTGTTCCCCTTCACGGTAGGCATCACACATGCAGGGTAATGCATGGTGAATAAATTCTGCTCATGCGTGCAAATATACACGCTCAAACAAAACAATGAGCCTGTCTTGATACTATCCAGTTATTAAGACACATGCACATGTTGTGAACACACAGATTCATACACGCTGTACACACGGTGGAGAAGCCTGTCAGTGTTCACATTTATCACTCACACGTGCAGTTCTTATTTTGAGTAATGTTTTTAGATTTCAGGTTTATGTAAGACCCTGGAAGCGTGACATCCTTTTTTTATTAAAGCAGACATAACAGTGCTTTGATCTGGGACTGAAAACCCTGGCCATACGGTTTCATAAGAGACTAGCCGGTGTATTTCAACAGTACCCCCTCCCACCCTCGCCACAGTCTGCAGGCTCATTCTGAATTAACTCAACCGGCAAAAGCACCATGTATGTCCATGCTACCATTCCAGCCTGTTTAAGGTTCACGGCCTGCAGCCTTGTGTTTATTCATGTGTCGACAGCCATGGCCGAAGACCACTGCAAGAATTCATTTAATCATTTAGGGACTTTAAAGGCTCAGAACATTTACTGTGACCTTTTCCGTCATTTTGGGTGTGCTTTGAAGCATTTTGTAGGTGTGATTGGTCTAAGAAAGAGGTTTAATGAAAGTAGAAAGATTCGGGCACATGTGAGACCAGAGCAGATAGACTGAGGGAAGCAAACAGAATAGCACAGGTTCTAGATAGGCAAATCAAAACCTGTGAAGGATAGAGAGCATATACATATAAAACACAGCGTAAAAAACACATAAAACATGAATTGATGGATACATTTTTTAGAATCACAGAACCTAGAGATGTGAAGAACAAAATAAAAACCAGCAAACCACTTGACATGTAGCAGCAAAATGTAGTTTCAGTCGTACGAGCTCAGCTGTATTTGTAGCAAACATAACAGGCAACACGCAGACACTCATTGGTGGAGCTTTGCATGTCTTGAACAGCTGACTGGCTGATGGTAGTGGGCTGGCTGAGGAGTCTGGCTCTGGGCAGCATACAGATCACAGTGATGTAACTCCACTGCTGCCACTTCTCTCCCTTCTGTGTATTTGGTCCTTCTATAACATGCCTAGGCTTTCCACCCTCTCTCACGTTTAAAGTCTTATCGCTCTCCCCGCTGCTGTGACACTCTCAGTGTAATTTATTTTTCTTTATCTCTCGCTCTGCCTCGTGTTTTAATCCACTCTTTCTCTTTTTGCCTTTTTTGTCATGCTCATATTTGCTCTCTGTCCTTCTCCTCTCTCTCCTCTCCCTCACGTGTCTGTGTTGTTGGTCGTCACTGCTCTGCCCTCTTAACATTGACAGAAGGGTCGTGTGTGGCTGAGGGCTGAGAATGCTCTTTCTCTCTTTCTCTCTCTCTCTCTCTCTCTCCCTCTCTCTGTCTGCAGCCTCTCTATCATTTTGCTGCTCTCTCGCCCAGTTTCTCTCATCTGAAGGTCATTCACAGAGTGCCTTACAAGTGCCAAGCCTTTTAGCAACACTTCTATATTCATCCTTCATTTCTCCTTTCTCTGTTCCTCTTCCTCCTCCTGGAGTCATTTCTACTCTCAGTGCTGTGTGTTATCACTATTGGGATCACAGCGCTCTCTCTCTCTCTCTCTCTCTCTCTCTCTCTGTCTTTCTTTTTCTCTTCCGTCTCATTTCTCTAATGGGACTAAGCTGGCCCAGGTCCCAAGGTCAAAGCAGGTTTTCAACTGAGCACCCAGCTCAGACTTAACCTCATTTGTTTGGATTGATTACTGAAATATTGAGCACATATTGGTGGAGCACAAGCATGTAAAGCACTATTTCAAATATTTCTCTGTGTTAAAGTTAATTTTGGTAGCATTAGGAGAGCATTAGGTGTCTTCTTAGATAAAGTTTTAGACATTTCTGTTGCACTTGATTCCTACAGGGTGCCACTGTCATTATTGTATTGTATATGTTGTTTGTAGGTAAATAGGTAAAAATGCCACAATTACCTATCCTAGAGTCAGTTGAGTCAGTTGCCCCCACTACAGTGCATATATAACACATATGAGGCATGTTTTTCCACTACTGAACTCTTAAATTTAGATTGGGTTGTAATACTAAGTCTCCACTACTTTCCCTGCAGTCCCTGTTTAATTCTAGTTAGATACTCTGTGGCTGGATTGTACCCAGATGAGACAGAACTGTAATCACAGTTTACGTCTGAGCACTTCCATGTTTCATAGCACTGTGAGAAAAATCCTGATTTGTGTTCGTTATGTAAGGCCTCCTGGTGTGAACTGTAGCCAAAGTATGTTTACACTGAGAATTGTGTTATCAATTAATTATTTGCAGGACATTTATCACCTATCCTACTGCTCATGTACTGCTTTGTATTTTTATCCCTAATATTCCTGGGTGTGTTGTATTTTCCTCTCATATATTACAATACTTTCCGTAAGGTGCCAACCTTTTCTCCTCCTGTGAAGTGTGGTAAACTATTACTACTATTTGGCACATATTGGTCTCATTTATTAAGATTTAACCCTGTGAAAACGTGAATCATATATTCTGTGGTGACCAAGCCAACCTTTCCCCACACAAATCCAAATAAGTCCAAATAAACTCCTCAAACCAATTCCCTCTTATGTTCAGTTCTGCCTCAACAGCTTGTCAAAGCACAGCGGCAGAAACCAAATGTATGAGACCTTTAAAGATGTTTTTACTTTTACACTCCTCTCCAGAACTTGAATCAGAACCCTCGCACGTTGCTGCCCAAGTTTTTTGGCCTCTACTGTGTCCAGTCTGGCGGGAAGAACATCCGCGTGGTGGTGATGAACAACGTCCTTCCCCGCGTCGTTCGCATGCACCTTAAATACGACCTGAAGGGCTCCACCTACAAGAGGCGAGCATCCAAGAAGGAAAGAGAGAAGGCCAGGCCCACTTTCAAAGACCTGGACTTCATGCAAGACCTGCAGGACGGACTTATGCTGGACCAGGACACTTACAACGCGCTGGTCAAGACCTTACAGAGAGACTGCCTGGTGAGTTAGATGAAGAGCATATTTATGTTGAGATAGCAGGAAGGAAAGAGAACTACTGTAGGGCGAGACGGCGAGGACCATTTACAGATTTTGAAGGAGGATCCCTGAGAGTCTCCAGAGAGGTCCTCCAGAGAAAGAGAGAACGGCAGTAATGGTTAGAAGGAAGGATTAGAGGGATGATAGAAGGAAGGATAAAAGGACACTGTAATGCAGCATCTCAAGGGAAAAGAGGGAGTAGAAAGTCCACAAAAGAATAGAAAGTAGTAGAGTAAAAAGTCCACAAAATGAAATGGATAAGAGTTATGATTAATGATTAATAATGAGGATCGTGGATGGAGGGAGGCGGGAGTGAAGAAGGCAGCGAAAGACAAAGCTATTTATGAGTGTTTGGCGTTCCCAGGATCCCTCACTATAAATTAGAGCTTTGTTATGAGCAAGAGGTTTAACAAGGTGTCTGTTCTGCTAGCAACCCTGTCCTCTTCTTGTAAATCACCACCTCACGTTTACTTTTATAGTGCATTTGCTTGGAAGGCAGTATGTGTGCACACACTGGCTATCTTATACATTGTTTATTAATGTGTACATGCTGTGCATGACTGTGTATAGCTCAGTGTCTTCTGTATAGCATTAACATCGTCAGTATTACAGCTCTCATTCCCTCTGGTGCTCACACTGTGCACTCGAGATAAAAGCTTTCACCTTGATTTATATGTCACGCGTCTGTCAATCACTGCACACCTGTTTGACCTTTTTCCTCAGGTGCTGGAAAGCTTTAAGATCATGGACTACAGTCTGCTGCTTGGGGTTCACAACATGGACCAGGCGGAGAGGGAGAGGCAGATGGAGGGCTCCCAGGGCGGCAGCGATGAGAAGAGGCCCGTGGCCCAGCAGAAGGCCCTGTACTCCACAGCCATGGAGTCCATCCAGGGAGGAGCCGCCTGCGGGGGGTCCATCGACACTGACGACACGTGAGTTTAGCCAGAGAGGCAAGAGGCTGTTGGCGTAGGAGTTGTGCAATAAATGTGACTGCTGGCACTTAAAAGGGGTCAGTTCATGCCATGTTTATGATAAATAAAGCGGAATATAAATAATACAAACAATAATAAACACTTGCTTTTATCCATTACACCTCCTCCGCTACTACACTTCTTCTCAGTTCAACTGCTACAGCTCTTCAACTTTTCTCAAAAAAGCTTACTCAAACTCTTATTAATCAATTTCCTCTCCTTTTTATATTTACACTTTATCTGAAACTGACACTCCAAACCATTTCAGTGCTGCAACTGACAATTTAAACTGCAGCCCCCACACAGTATTTCATAAGCAAACATTTTAACCTGATTACAGTCCTAACAGCTGCAATTTTCAGTGCAAGTGGGCAAAAATTCCTTCAGAGAATATGATCTTCTAAATATTAAAAAATAACACACTTATAGAACAAGACTTGAGAAAAGATTTAAAAGGTCACACTGAAATAAGTTCAAGTGACCCTGAGGGCAAACTTGAGATTTACCCACCAAGTACTCACTAGTGCCAGAAGATCTCAGGCTGTGCTCAGTGTGGATTAAAAGGTTTGCAGCTTGGCTAGAGGCCAAAACCTGCTAGCTGTGAAATTGACCCTTATGACTGTGACTGAAGTAACAGAAGTTGTTGTAGTCTAAGTGAGATTAAATAGCAGGACTTACAAATAGACTACAAATAAAAACATCTTAATTTTCTTTTCATATTTTAGCCAAAAGAAATAGAAATGTCCTGCCTTCACCATTAGATTCTCACACGTTAGATTGCAGGATTGCATAGAGACAACATCTCTTTTGTCTGCACTTTAGAAGATTCTGTAGTGGTGTATCAGCACCTTCACTGTAAAGCTGTAGTTACCTTTTACAGTCATTTAAACCAAGATAACTGCTGGCTTTAAGTCGAGCTATCTAGTTGGGACCTATTCAATGAATGCAATTGATTAGATGGTACTTAGCTTGAGACAGCATAGTGACAAAAAATGTTATATTAAATAATAAGAAATAATGCTGAAAAGGGCCTGTAGCTGCTTCATAATAAAAGTCTCAATCTGTTCTCTACACTGGATAGATTTTACTGAGTTGCCTGCAAGAAGTGTTGACTATACATCCAAATGCACACACCTGTTGATACTTTTCGTTTCAGTTTATTTATGCTTCTCATTTTAGGATGGGCGGCATCCCGGCTGTGAATGGAAAAGGAGAGAGACTTCTTCTTTACGTCGGAATCATCGACATCCTGCAATCCTACAGGTGATTGTCGTAGTAGTCTATGTATGTGATTACACGTCACTACTGGTCATCAGCTACATATACAGATCAGCCATAACATTATGACCCCTTGGGCACCCTGGTGGTCTTAATGTTCTGCAGCCCCATACCAACAGACTGTGATGCACTGTGTGTTCTGACACCTTTCTATCAGAACCAGCATTAACTGTTTCA